CCACCCACCCACCCACCTCTGCCTTCTCTATTGTCTTTTAGTCACTCGGAGGCTTGTCTGATTTCACTTCCATTAATTATTTAATTTTGTTGTCCTCCTTTCACAAAAAAAAATTTTTGAGGTTCAATAATTTTACATTAATATAACTCTATGTGGACCATTCTGGCTGAATTTTTCCTGGCTGAGCCATATATATTATTTTAAATAAATGTGGTCATAATATTTCTGGAATTTCCCCTTTATTTATATGGGTTGTTTTTACTTGTCCCAGATCACCATTCGTATTAAGATGGTGTGTGTCTTTCAGGACTTTCTCTGTCCTGCTATCAAGGATAGAATCATATCAACAACTACAGTGTACATATGGCTGGCTTTTCTTTCCTATTTGCTTTACACAAATAAGATCATATGGCACCTACTTTCCTCTTCAGCTTACTTTTCTAATTCAATAATACGTCATGAGTATCAACTTAACATAGCTTTAAATCCCTTCTAATGATTGTGTAATATTTTATGGTGAGACAGAATGATAACATAGCCAACCATTTTCCCAGTGACAGGCATTCACTTTTGTTTCCATTTTATTGGCCCTATGAAAGATACTTACAAAAAACACATTGTTTTGAATTCATTTACAAATCATGTGTTTTTCCAGCCTATGCTTACGTGTGGATTTTTTATTAAGTCCTTGCAATCAGTTGGCTAAGTCTTTTCAAATACAAGGATCAAGTTGTTTTTGAGCTCAGGAATTTTTCTCTATATCGCTCATCCTCTATTGCCATTTCCCTTTCTTTGTATGTTGAGTCCCTACAATTTTTCTTGGATTTTTGCTCTATCATTTGAGAATTAGTTTGGGACTCTGCTTATGCTTGAACTTCTTTGTCACCAATTTGATCTCAACATAATCATCTTTTCCTCTTCAATTCCTCTACTGACATTTTTATTTTTAAAAATTATTATATTTTTGTGTTATTGTTAATTTGATTAAGAATGTCTTTTTAAAGCCATACTTGAATATCTTTATTTGCTTTTTCTGTTTTTTGCTTCCTTTTTGTTATTCAAGTTGTCATCTGTTGGGCTTTTTTCTAAAACTTTGAGATGTGACAGTCTTCTATTCATTGGTCAGAGTCTAGTTCCCAGCTTCCTGTCTTACATGACAATAAACATGGTGGCCTCTGGTCCTGTGGGTCCCCAGTTACTGCAATAGGCAGACTGTAATTCCAGGGAGAGATTTGAGCAGGAGGCCCCTCTGCTCCCGTCTGCCTGCTCTCCTTTAGCCCTTTCTCTTCAAAAATGAGCAGTCCATTGCCTTCGTTCCAAAAATACATAATTTTCTGAAAGCCCAGTACTCTTCATATCTACCATACTCAGAGTTTAACCATGACCACTCTCCCTCCACAAAAAAAACAAAAACAAAATACAAACAACAACAAAAAACACCACTAGCCCCACACTCTCCAACAGCTCTCTCTGGGCTCTCACCTCGCCAGCCCTGTGCGGGAGTACCGACCAAGCATCAGGCCTGTTCATGCCTCCCTACTCCTAACCACCATCCAGCCAGCTACAGTAGATAAGTTCCAGTTGGGAGTGGACAGTAGAGAGAATCTTTCAATCCACCATCGATAGAGAATTTATATCAACTAGTTTTGAAATTTAATAAATAAACTCCTGCATGAGAATTAAAATTTGATCCAATCCTTAGGGGAGAAAAAAGCTATACTTGGGAAAAATAAAGTCATTTCTGTATTATTAACATAGGAATATAATAATATTACAAATGATGTAGAGTTCATTTACCTTTCTCCAGTTCCACTGGGAAAAGTTCCAACTTTTCTACACGCTTTTCAAGTTCATACTCAGCTGAAGCAGCCACGGGGTCAACTTCATCATTTCTCCTGTCATAGTCTTCATTGGAGTACGTGCTGAAAACCTGTAGGAGAAGACCAACAAAAAGATGACAATCCCAAAAGGACGGCTTTCTAAATTACAAAAAAAGAAAAACCTCAGTTTCTAA